GCCCTGGAAGCCCCGCCCCAGCCCTCAGCATCCTGCCCTGGAGGCCCCGCCCCTGCCCGGCTCTCTGTATTTGCCCTCCGCATCCCAGCCTGTAGGCCCCGCTCCGGCCAGGCCCTCACCGAGGTCGAAGTGGTACATGCAGTAGGTGAGGAGGATGTCACTGAGCAGGCCCAGCCCGGGATTCTCCGGGCCCTCGTAGAACCTGTTGTTTCTGTCTGTCCGGCTCACATCTCGCTCTGTGCAGAGAGTATGGGGACACAGAGTGGAGAAATGTGAGGGGCTTGGCCCTCTGGTCACCGGCTCTCATTCCTCCTCGGGGGTGCAGACCTCCTGCTTAGGCTTAACTCTCAGGGTGCAGGAGGGGTGAGTACAAGCAACAATCATGAACATTCCTGACTCGGGGCACTCGACAGGCGCCCCTCATCTCCCTCTGCTGCTCAGTCTATGGGATTCACTGGACAGAGAACGGCCCCGGAGGGTTACAGGGCAGTGATCACCGTCGCAGATCGCCACACTGTTGTGAACCTGCGGAGCGGTTGGAGGCTTTGAACTGCCAACCTCTTTGTCAGCAGGTGAGTACTGAACCACTGTGCCAACGGGGACCCCTCCACACCTGTCTCCAAGAGGAAAAGCAGAGACTCGGAAGGCAGAATAGCTTGGCACGCAGTCAGAGATTGAGAAGGGCAGGGTCGGGCTTTGAACCCACGCAGCCTGGCTCTACTCTGCTCCTCCCCATGCCCTGGTCTGCTCTCTCTCAGACCTCCACGCCGTCTGCTCACGCGTGGTCCCTGCTCACACAATCGTGTCCCCTGTTCCCACTCCTGCCACCCCTAGCTGGGGACACCCACCGATGAGGCTGCGGTATCCCCGCAGCAAGGAGTTTCTCCGCTCCTGCTCTGGGCTCACGGACTTCCACTGCAGCTTCATGCGGAAATACTCGTCCCTGTGGGTGGATTGAGGGAGGACATGACGCTAGGCCCCAGGTATGGCCTGTCTCGTGGGATGTCGGGAGACAAGAGGACCGCTGGGACCCCGACCTAGTGTCGCTTCTGGGTCCAGCAGGGCTCAGCTTGGCGGCCCCCTCAGATCAAGGAGGACTCCTGGTCATTCCTTACACTGCCCTCACAACTTTGCTGAGGGCTTCTCTTTCTATGTACTGTCCTTTGTATAGTCTGTCAAGGCCGATGGATTGAATGGAGGTGTTATGGACTGAACTGTGTCCCTGAAAATGCAGCCTGTGTCTGTGGTTACTATCCCGCTCTGGGCTGGACTGTCTCTGTGCTGTGAGGGAGGCTGGGCCAGCGTAGCGTGTATCTTTGAGTGAACCTCTCTTGAGAAATAAAAGCAACAGAGCAAGACTGATGCCAAACCACACAGAAAACAGAAGCCCAGAGAAAAGAACCTTCCCCCAGGGCCCGCAGAGAGAGGGCCCAGAGAGAGGATCCCTTCCCCCAGGGCAGACAGAGCCCAGCATCCTGAACTCGGCCTCCCACACTGTGAGAAAAAGCTCCTGTTTAAGCCACCGCTGGCGGTACCTGTGTCTCAGCAGCGCTCGAGAAGTAAGCTGTCCAGCACAGCTACACCACTCCCTGCACCAGTTCCCCACAGGTCCCACCCGGCACCAGGCACACAGCAGGTATAGGCGTGTGTCAGGAACGTGGGGAAATGGTTCTGTGGGGTTACAAATGTGTCACAGTCGTGAGGACTGCTACAGGAGGGCACAGGGAGGGACACACCGACAGTGGACGCTGGACATGGCCTCCAGAGCGGGGACAGGGTGCCCGGACGGCCCCTCCCGTGGGGACTTGAAGCCAGTGTTTCAGGATCCAGGAAAAGTCCTGGACCAGCCACATGCACATCTACTGAGGGTCAGGGGTGGTCACGCTGGGCACCAGGCACCTGGTGCTGGTCAAAACTTCCATCAGCTCAGGGAAAGACAGAGAGACATCAGAGAGAACGGGCCAGACAAGGCCATGTGAACGAGGGAGCTCTGTGCCAAGGACCACAGGTAGCAGGGGACCTGGGAGTGGTCACAAACAAAGCCATCCTATCAGGGCCCTCCCTGAGGGATCTCAATCTGGCGTCACGCCGGACCGGCCGTAAGCAGGGACATTCATCCCTTCCACACTTAGAGCATTAATCAAGGAGGGAACCATATTCTGAAAGAAACAGGCGCACAGGAGGGCTCAGCCGCAGGCGGACCCCCCCAAACCCCGGTCCTACGGCCGCCCCCGGGAGCAGGCGGCCACGGAGGGAGGCTCACTCACGTTTTCTTGCGCACGTGGGCCTTGTGCTCCTCAGCTGTGCCCTCCCAGCTGAGGTACCCCAGGAGGAACTTCCAGGCTTCACGCCGTAAGCTGGGGCTCAGACCCTGTGAGGGGGCACGGTGGCAGAGGGGAACAGGCAGCTCAGAGGGGCTCCTCCGGACTGCCCACCGCACCTGCCCAGCCTCATCCGACCCACCCCAGCGCCTCACCCCGGAGAAGATGCGGGCCTTCAGCTCTGGGACCTGCTGCAGGCGGCCCTCGGGGCCCATGTGGTGCGCCCACTCCTCCTCTGTGACTGGAGGGGTCCGCTCCACGGCCGGACGTGGCCCCAGCTCGACCTGCAGACACAAAGCAAGTGAGCCCAAGGCCGTGTGGCCAACGAGTCCCCTCCCAGCGCACCTCCAGGCCAAGCCCAGGCCCACACTGGTGTTGGGGGCAGGAAGGTCCTTCTCTGGCTTCGTAACAAATCTGCCCCCACAGCTCTCACCATGTGCCCACCACAGGCAGGAGCACGTGCTGCGATCGACCCATCGGCATCTCCCACTTACTGAGGGGACATGACACCACAAGCCCAAGTGCCAGAGCCAAGAAGGAGCCATGTCGCCTCTGAGACTCACGCAGGAAATGACTTCGAAGCCAGGCTCTGGCTCGTCCTCTGGAGGCGGGGGTAGGTCGGAGGAGGCCCCTTCCAGGTGCGGCTGCAGGGCTCCCCGGAAGAAGTTGGTTACTCGGGAGAAGCTGCTGAAGGTGGTGGAGTAGGGGTCCTGGAGGAAGCGCTGGGGGCCAGGCCGAAACACAGTGTCACGCATCATCCCCCACCCTTCATGTCTTACCCGGCACAGAGGACCCTGTCCCCGGCTCACCCGCCACAGTCCACCCCTTCCTGTTCCAGCCACTACAGCCCACCACCCCATCTCACCCGCCACAGTCCACCCCTTCCTGTTCCAGCCACTACAGCCCACCACCCCGTCTCACCCGCCACAGTCCACTCCTTCCTGTTCCAGCCACTACAGCCCACCGCCCACTGTCTCACCCGCTACAGTCCACCCCTTCCTGTTCCAGCCACTACAGCCCACCGCCCACTGTCTCACCCACTACAGCCCACCCCTTCCTGTTCCAGCCACTACAGCCCACCACCCACTGTCTCGCCCACTACAGCCCACCTCTTCCTGTTCCAGCCACTACAGCCCACCGCCCACTGTCCCACCCACTAACAGCCCACCCCTTCCTGTTCCAGCTACTAACAGCCCACCCCTTCCTGTTCCAGCCACTACAGCCCACCACCCACTGTCCCACCCACTACAGCCCACCACCCACTGTCCCACGCACTACAGGCCACCACCCACTGTCCCACCCACTACAGCCCACCACCCACTGTCTCACCCACTACAGCCCACCCCTTCCTGTTCCAGCCACTACAGCCCACCACCCACTGTCTCACCAGCTACAGCTCACCACCCACTGTCTCACCCACTGCAGCCCACCACCCACTGTCTCACCCACTACAGTCCACCCCTTCCTGTTCCAGCCACTACAGCCCACCGCCCACTGTCTCACCCACTACAGCCCACCTCCCACTGTCTCACCCACTACAGCCCACCACCCACTGTCTCACCCACTACAG